CCTGACAATTACGTTCATGCACTGTGGTCCTGTCCACCTGTCCAGGAATTTTGGGGTAGAGTATGTGAAGACCTGTCAAAGTCTCTGAAATGTCATATCCCAATCACCCCCTCTCTTTGTTTACTGGGAAACCTGGATGATGTCCCGATTGAAAAATCTTTGGTTCACGTGGTTCTGACTGCCATATGCATCGCTAAGAAAACTATCCTCTTGAATTGGAAAAATAGAGAAAATCTCTGCATTAACCAGTATAGAAATCTTTTGTTAGATCATATTGCACTTGATTTAGCCTCTGCTTCCACTTCAAATAAATCTCTCTGGGCTCCTTTGATCGGTTCCATCACATAGCGGTGATGGGGGGCCGTTGATGATGTCCTGCGGGATGGTGTGGGTGGGGGGGTGGAGGGTCTGAGTTTGGAGTATCTGGATGTTCCCTGGGGATGGGTTCACTGGGGATGTCTGGCACTGGGGGGCCGTTCCCCCCCCTCTGGAGGTGCTTGGGTTGCCTCGGGGGGTGTACTGCTGGCGGTTGTGAGTGGGGCCCCTTGGAGGTCTTGGCGGCGGCCATGGGTCACTGCCTGGCGGCTGCATTGCCCCTGGGTGGGTCTGGGTGGGGGCCTGGGGGCTCGGGGTGTTGGGGTGGCCGGCCCCGTGTGGGGATCTGGGCTGGGCCTTGGGGGTCGGGTCCCTACATGTACGCTGCCGGGAAGAAGGCAGGAATACGCAGAAGTACCTGGCCCGGGTTCTGGGGCGTAGGGCAGGCCCTGGCTCCTCTGTTGTCCCATCACAGGGGAGGGGGAGGTCCAGGAGGGGGAGGACCCAACCTTACCTGGATGTCTTATGTCTTATATATTCTGGAAGTTGTGCAAATGCAGGGATGGGCACAGATATTCTGCTGGGGTGGGGCTGGGTCGGCTCCCTCGGGCTCTGTGGGGCTCTGTGATGCTGCTGCTTTGGGCCCTGGCAGGATGGGCTGGGGTCTCCATGCCCTGGGCGGCGGTATGACAGCGGAGGTGCCTATTGGGGTCAGTGGGGGAGCTGGCTCCCTGGAGGGCTAAGCCCTACCAGCCATTCCTCCCCATCCCCGTTTATTTCTCTCCTCCTGCTCCCTCACATCATCACACAAACATGCACATAGGACCTTGGGGGGTGGACAAGTCGAGGAGTGCGGGTATGGACCCCATTTCCGCATTCCTGTGGCTTCCCGCCCCCCAATTTTATTTGCACCTTATGCACTTCCACCGACGACATTCCACGCAAACATACACTTAGGGCCTTGGGAGTGAGCACATTCAACGGCACTTGGCAGGGGGAGTTCTCAGCCTCCTCCCGAGTGCCGGTGCCCACTTCGAATTTTAAACTGCATTTAGACACCAAGGGCTGTGGGTGCAAGTAGGGTGGTGCAGTGGCATCAGCTGGCATAGGCCAGAAAATGCCCGCACTGCCCGCTCACCACAGCAATAGAATACACCTCATTAACACACAACACTATGTTGGAGCAGGTGGAGGGAGACCAGGGGGTCTTAGCACACCTCTGTTGTTGCTTGGCTGCCTGGGGCTGGAGACTAGGAGGGAGATCTGGCCGTCTGGTTGGGGTCTGGGGTGGTGGGTTGCTGTGCTCGGCGGTGGGCGGGGGAGCCTGCTCATCAGCACCCCAGCAGAAAGGGTCAAACTCTGGTAACCGGTGGTGGTTGTACCCCATGTGCAGCATTACCGGGACCAGAGTGAATAGGGTGTGTATGGGGAGCATGAATGGGTGTCCGGCGTGTATTTTTGTAAGTCTTTGGTTGTATGTGCATGTGTGAGCATGAGGGAGGGAGTGTGTGACTGTGTTTGTGTATGACTGTATATGTCAGGTGGGGCCTTTGACTCCTCCCTTCTCCTGGGACCTCCTTTGATGATATAGATCTTCGTCTCCCCTCCCCCCTGTCACACCTGGTGTGGGTGTGATGCCTTGGTCTGCCTGAGTGTTCGTGGATCCCGGGTCAGGGAGTTTAAGATTTTTGGCATCTGCCTGATCAATCCCGGTGGCGGCCTGGGGGGGTCTGGGTCCCTGGGCTCTGCTGGGTCCCCGGCGGGGGTGGTCGCCCCTGGGTCCCGGGTCGCTGGGTCCCGGACTCGGCCGGCTAGGGGGTGGGAGGCTGCGGGCAGGCCTGAGGACTTGCCGCTGATATCTCCCGGGGCTCTGCCGGCTGCTGGTTGTGGCCCCCCGGGGCGATCCTCTGTGCCTCTCGAGGGGGGCGGGGGCCTTTCTGGTTGCGGGCTCCTTGGGGTTCCTGTGTTCTGGGGCAGCGCCTGGATCTCTGGGACTTGGAGCTCCCCCCTGTCTCCTGCGCGTCTTTGGGGGGCAGATCTGTGGTCCCTCACACTCTCTATTGGACGCTCCTATAGATAAACCTTACATAAACAAGCGCGTGTACACACACAGGTGCTCACATGGTGCTCTCATAAGTATGGGCTTGGGCACGTTCAACACATGTCTTAAGACTATGGTGGGCACTCAATGCACTGTGGTATATTATCGTGTGACTGTTTAGTTAAACAATGATTGATTATATATTTCTTCATCAAGTTGACGCAGTGATAGCTTGATTTTGTTATATTGGTGTTGTGTCCCATTTTTTTGTTATGTTTTGCTTTTTTCTCGTCTCATTTTGCAGGTCTAGAAGCAGACTCTTGTTCATTATTGTTTATTTTTGTTGAATCCCCCCCCCCCCACCTAACCCCCTCTCTCCCCACCTTTTCTCTTTTCCTTTCTCTTTCACCTCTGTCTCCGTGTCTGGTCGAAATTACAAAGCATTCAAAAACAATAACAATAAAGTTTTAAATATCAGGTGCGACATTAAAAGCAGACTCTTTGATGCTCCACCTGAGACATTAAAAGCAGATGCTCTGATGCTCCACCTGAGAGTAAAACTGTAAGGCTTGTTACCAGCATTCAGACATCAATTCTGCTTGCTTCACAGCCAGACAGGACACGTTAAAAAAAAAAAAAAAAAAAAAAAAACAAAGCTGGACTAAACGCTTTTCTTTAACATGTATACGGATCAGTCTGGACTCTAATGTTCTGCAGCAAACACAATTCAGTTTATATTTACATGAACAGCCTTACAGAGCATCTGTCTTTAACTTTTGCCTTTGTATGTAATAAAGAACCTTTAGCCTAAAGTTAGCTAACTGCTTTTTATCTTTTAGAAAATAAAAACAATTACATAAATATTATTTAATGTAAATATTGGCCTATAAGCTTTTCTGTCACATCATTCTGATGTAATACTTTGTTTCATTTGTCAAAGTAAGAATCTAACCAGTTCAGACCGGTCATTTCTCCTAAGATAAATGAGCTCGTAGCTTAGCCAACACGTGGTGATAAACAGCATCAAATCACTGCACTAAACACAAGAAAATGTTCATTTGCTTGTCAAATTTAACTCAACAATACATTTATTTTGAAAGTTTGGTAGATGAGATTATTTGAATCGTTAAATAATATGCTTCTCTGTCATTACTTGCTCGCAGATTGTCCACCATCTTGGAAGAGGTGGCGCTGTCTCAAAAACAACAGAAGCTTGAATCTAGCCTAGTGAACTAGACCAAATTCTTGCTTTGCAAAGTTTGGTCTAGGCATGCTCCATTGGAACCTCCACAGCTCCTACCAGGACTCTGGCTGGCCAATCACAGCTCTCTAGAGGGGTTTCAAACACATAAAGAGCTGTGATTGGTCCATAATTGTGGGCCAATCATAGTGCTCTATCTGCTTAGTGAACAAATCACAGAGCTTTATCCGCTTTGTGGGCCAATCAGGGCATTCTATGTGCCTGGTGGGTGGGATGATGCAACAGAGTGAAACAAGAGTATGTCACATTCATTGTCCAGTGGAATGCGGAGATCATTTGAAAGACAACGGTAGAACCTGCCCCACAACCGAGAGCCGTCAATGGATCGTGGCCAGACTAAATAATACATTTATTTAGTATGGCTTGCCAGGCTAGCTTGAATCTGCAGCGAGCGTGAATCTGTGGTCTCCTGCTCAGCCATGCCCTTGTCCAGCAGGAGGAGTGGATGAAAGTCTGACACATTTTAACCAGCTTCCTCTGCGGTGTATTTTTTGCTGCAGGAATTGAAGTTTACATCACAAAGTAAAAGTTCGGCAGTTGGGGGGGATGCTGCAGTGCAGACCATCCTATTAAAACAAATGTTGCTGTGCCGGTGCGACTGGCTGCTTGGGATGTCCTTGTCCACACCTGTCTATTATCATTGGTCTGGGGCTGTGTCCAGCCTGTAATTGCTTTGAGTGTCTGCACCTGTGGGTGCAGCATAAAAGACTGCTTGGTGCGACTGCAGAGAAAAAGATGAGACTGATCAGAGGGAGCACATTTGGGAGCACTTGACTGTGATTTTAAAAAACAAAATACCATTTAACTCCCACCAAGTTTCCTGCCTACTCCTTATGTTGCGATCCCATGAGCCAGGTTGTAACAGTCTCAGTTTATCTAATCAAAGTGCAATACTTAGTTCTGCCACTGGGTGGCACCAACACTAGAAAATTAATTAGATATCTTGTTTTAGTATTAAAGTTGCGTAAAACGGGAAAAAATAAACACATTTTACAGCAGCAGATACAGGTAGGATTTCAGTTTTATCTATATAAATCAACAGTGAGTGTGTGTGTGTGTGTGTGTGAAGGATGAAATGAGAGAGAGAAAGCAGAACCAGCATTTTCTAGCTGTTTCCTGTAGCAGACAGTAAATTCAATGATGCTGACTAGCCAAAAATACTCCAGTTCTCCTTAGGAACCAAATGTGACTGGCTGGCTGTTTAGCTGCAGCCTTTCCCAGCACCTCAGGAGTGAAACTAGCGACAAGCACTAATTAATGAGACAGCTGGTAAAAACGATTTGTAAATAATTCCGAAAACAAAACTGATGCATTTTACATTGTATGTACATATTTATATAATATATGTGAATGAAGCAAAGATCACAAAAACTCATCTGCTTGTCTAATTTCTCAATCTCATAACTTTATTTTAAAAACTAAAACATTTTTCTAGGATTAACTTTATTAAGTACACGCACAGAAGCATGAATACGAGATCATCCAGACTAAAACCCTCTGAGCAGAAGGAACCTCACAGTCCAAACCTGCTCTTTCTCCTCTTCAGCTGGAGGACTATCGGGTGTTTGGACACGGTAGCAGCTTTGGATCGGACCTCTGAGAACCACATCACCATGCAGCAGGGACCAACTCCTGCGTTTGTCCAGAAGATGTTCTTCTCAAGTTGGTGGGATGGAGCTTCCCACCCTGTACTGGGTCCGTCTTCACTCAGGACATCAGTGGGTCTAAGAATCTGTTCAGACACATCATTTCCACCTGTCGGTGCTCCGGTCTGTCTGTGGTTTTAGGACACGCAAAGAGGAGCCTGTAGAACCTCTAACACCTGTCCATCATTCGAATCTGGATCTGCCGACTCATCTCTTCTGGAAGCTTGGGCTGTGAATGATCTGAGAGAGCCTTCCAAATGAGTCCGTCACATCTTTGTGTTCTTCTGTGTGATCCAGCTGGTCAGGGACATTAGGTACTGCTGAGAGGTTCTGCTGAAGGGTGTTTATCCTGGGGAGGAACTGGGCCAGAGCAGGATGGCCTCGGTCTGAGCCGTGCAGCCTTTGCTGGTTGTTTCCCAAACTGAGAAGAGCTCCATGTCCATCAGAGACGTAGATGTTGTAGCCATCTGCCAGGATCTGCTCTCTGAAGGTGCAGTCGGCTCTGATGTACGAGTGCTGGAAGAAGAAACGAGATGTTCATGATGTTAGGGGTTTGATGAAATTGACCTTTTAACTTGTTGAAAACAAACAGATTTGAACTTCTGTGATCTTCCATGAGCGGTCTATCTGCATTGGTAAAACGATTCAAACAGACGAAACAGGTTTGAGCTCCAACACTCAATCCCTCTCAGTGCATTCAGCTTATCAGGGACTTTTAGTTTGTGTACAGCTTAAAGACCAGTGGTAGCAGAGTCAGGGGCGGGGTTATGGATGGCTGCAAGGGCTCAAGCCCCGGATGTTTTCTGAAAAGCCCACAATCAAATTTTGACTTTTGAAGAGTAAAAAAAAAAATGTTGGCTTAGAGATAGCATGCAGTACCAAGGCCCACTAGAGTGAGCACAACTGCACAGTGTGGCCTGCATACAGCCAGCTGGAGAGACCAAGTACACCTGGCTGCATCATGCAGAGAGGGGCAGCGTGGGGCCAGTTGTCAGACCAGAACCACGGCTGTTACTAGTTTATAATTGTTAATACTATGTTCTATGTTCAAATGAAACAAGATTAATATACTTTGCTACATGACGAGGCCTGAATTTATACCCCAAAATGAAAAGGTTCCATTCAGCGAATCTCTGCCCATGACTGCCCCAAACTTAATTTTGTATTATCTGTGGTAGTCTAGTGGCATTTTTATCTGACTTTAGTTTCGTTTTGCCCTCTGCTAACGCTGGCTCGACTCTAGGTGGTGTCGGCAGTAATTTATTCAGCCAGCTGAAACAGATTTCATGTCTTTTTATTTTAGGTTTTTTTTTGGTTATTTTCTGCTATTTTATGTCTCTAAAGATCTTTGAATTTAGTCGTTTCCAAGCAGCATTTAGTTGATACTCTGCTCACACCCGGACTCACACTGGCTAAATAGACAAAGAAAGTCAAGAACAAACAGATTGGTCCTTATATGTTACGATAAAGGGTTGAAAACATAATACTGGCAAGTGTTGATAAAAAAGAAAAGGAAATAAAAAGTTAATGCTGCGACCAGGAGGCAAACCTGCGCACAATTACACACCAGCCGGATACTTCAACCACTACACCACTGAATCTGATTCACCTTGCTTCACGGGTGTTTTTGTAGACAGGATGTGTGGTTTTTACAGTGGAGTTCCAATAGAATTAATTTCAGAAGTAATTTGTCAGAATATCCACAGAATATCCAGGTTTCAGAACTGAGACCAGACTAGCTTTAGGGGGAGGAGAAAGGCCTGGTAGTGAGCTACTTTCTCAAGACTAGTTACTTTCTCCTAATGACCTCCACTCTGATACACCAAAAACCTTATATACAATAACCTAGTTGTAATTATTTTACTCTCTGAAGCCAGCTGTGTTTATGGTGCTTTCATTTATCCTGTCCACAGGACCTTTGCAGTTTCATTGTGCTGGCAGCACTTCCTATTTCTAAGGCCCTGTCCACACGTAGCCGGGGATCTGCCAAAACGTAGATATTTTCCTACGTTTTGGCCTGTCATCCACACAAAAACGGAGTTTTTTTCACACGAAAACGGATCTTTTAAAAAACTCCGGCCAAAGTGAAGATCTGCGTTTTCTCCGTTTTGGGTGTCTGCGTGTGGACAGACAAAACCGGAGTTTTAAGGTCCGCAACGTCACTTTCCGCGACAAAAAAATGCTGACATCACGTGTGCGACCTGTGTTTACACTAGCCGACAGCATGGATGCCCTCAGAGCTGCGCTCGCTTTATCAATTGTCCAAGCGCTTTCTCTTGTTTGTTTTTGCAAGCGGAATTACTGCTCCTTGCGGAAGAGCACAGACGAAGGACGAGGTTAAGAACGGGGGAAGTACTGCCGCCTACAGGTCTGGCATGTCCTTAACAACGTATTTATCCGGGTACATGTGGACAGAGTTTTTTTTTAAACGAGGTGGTGTGGATGCAAGTTTTTGGAGGGGCGGATGTTCGTTTAAAAAAAAACGGCTGCGTGTGGACAAGGCCTAATTCTATTTTGCCGTAGTGTTATTGAGATATTTTCTATTTGTTATAGTTTGAGTCTCTAATTATTTCATTGACTTCTGTGAATTTAGTCTTTACTTTAATGGAAGGATATGAATAAATGTGAGGGTTATTGCCTCGTCTCGTCTTCCTCCGCTTATCCGGGTCCGGGTCGCGGGGGCAGCATCCCAACTAGGGAGCTCCAGGCCGTCCTCTCCCCGGCCTTGTCCACCAGCTCCTCCGGCAGGACCCCAAGGCGTTCCCGGACCAGATTGGAGATGTAACCTCTCCAACGTGTCCTGGGTCGACCCGGGGGCCTTCTGCCGGCAGGACATGCCCGAAACACCTCCCCGGGGAGGCGTCCAGGAGGCATCCTGACCAGATGCCCAAACCACCTCAACTAGCTCCTTTCGATCCGGAGGAGCAGCGGTTCTACTCCGAGTCCCTCCCGAATGTCCGAGCTCCTCACCCTATCTCTAAGGCTGAGCCCGGCCACCCTACGGAGGAAACTCATTTCGGCCGCTTGTATCCGCGATCTCGTTCTTTCGGTCATTACCCAAAGCTCATGACCATAGGTGAGGATTGGGACGTAGATCGACCGGTAAATCGAGAGCCTGGCTTTCTGGCTCAGCTCCCTCTTCCCCACGACAGATCGGCTCAGCGTCCGCATCACTGCAGACGCCGAACCAATCCGCCTGTCGATCTCCCGATCCCTCCTACCCTCACTCGTGAACAAGACCCCGAGATACTTAAACTCCTCCACTTGAGGTAGGACCTCTCCCCCGACCCGGAGGTGGCAAGCCACCCTTTTCCGGTCGAGAACCATGGTCTCAGATTTGGAGGTGCTGATCCTCATCCCAGCCGCTTCACATTCGGCCGCGAACCTACCCAGCAAGAGCTGAAGGTCAGAGCTGGATGAAGCTAGGAGGACCACATCATCCGCAAAAAGCAGAGACGAGATTCTCCTGCCACCAAACTCGACACACTCCACACCACGGCTGCGTCTAGAAATTCTGTCCATAAAAGTGATGAACAGAACCGGTGACAAAGGGCAGCCCTGGCGGAGTCCAACCCTCACTGGGAACAGGTCCGACTTACTACCGGCTATGCGGACCAAACTCACGCTCCTCTGGTAAAGGGACTGAATGGCCCTTAACAGAAAGCCACCCACCCCATACTCCTGGAGTGTCCCCCACAGGGTGCCCCTGGGGACACGGTCATAAGCCTTCTCCAAATCCACAAAACACATGTGGATTGGTTGGGCAAACTCCCATGCCCCCTCCATCACCCTTGCAAGGGTATAGAGCTGGTCCACAGTTCCACGGCCAGGACGAAAACCACATTGCTCCTCCTCTATCTGAGATTCAACTATCGATCGGACCCTCCTCTCCAGTACCTTGGAGTAGACCTTTCCAGGGAGGCTGAGGAGTGTGATCCCCCTATAGTTGGAACACACCCTCAGGTCACCCTTCTTAAAGATGGGGACCACCATCCCGGTCTGCCACTCCCTAGGAACTGCCCCCGATGACCACGCAATGTTGTAGAGACGTGTCAACCATGACAGCCCTACAACATCCATAGCCTTGAGATACCCAGGACGAACCTCATCCGCCCCCGGGGCTCCGCCGCTGTGTAGTTGTTTGACTACCTCAGCAACTTCTGCCCCCGAGATCGGACAGTCCATCCCCAGGCCTCCCAGCTCTGGTTCCTCCTCGGAATACGCATTGGTGGGATTGAGGAGCTCCTCAAAGTATTCCTTCCACCGTCCGACTATAGCCTCAGTTGACGTCAGCAGCTCCCCATCCCCACTGTAAACAGTGTGAGCGAGTTGCTGCCTTCCTCTCCTGAGGCGCCGGACAGTTTGCCAGAACCTCTTTGGAGCCGATCTATAGTCTTTCTCCATGGCCTCACCAAACTCCTCCCACGCCCGAGATTTTGCCTCGGCAACTGCCACTGCTGCACCCCGCTTGGCTATCCGGTACCTGTCTGCTGCCTCCGGAGACCCACAGACCAGCCACGCCCTGTAGGCCTCCTTCTTCAGCCTGACGGCTCCCCGAACCTCTGGTGTCCACCAGCGGGTACGGGGGTTGCCACCACGACTGGCACCGGCCACCTTACGGCCACAGCTAGCAACAGCCGCCTCGACAATCGCAGAGTGGAACAAGGCCCACTCGGACTCAATGTCCCCCACTGCTCTCGGGACGTGGTCAAAGCTCTGCCGGAGGTGGGAGTTGAAGACCGTCTTGACAGGTTCTTCTGCCAGGCGTTCCCAGCAGACCCTCACTATGCGTTTGGGTCTGCCAGGTCTACGCGGCATGTTCCCTTGCCATCTGATCCAACTCACCACCAGGTGGTGATCAGTTGACAGCTCCGCCCCTCTCTTCACTCGGGTGTCCAAAACATACGGCCGCAGGTCAGATGATACGACTACAAAATCTATCATCGACCTGTGACCTAGGCTGCCCTGGTACCAAGTGTACCGGTGGGCATCCTTATGTTCGAACATGGTGTTCGTTATGGCCAAACTGCGGCTTGCACAGAAGTCCAATAACAAAACACCGCTCGAGTTCAGATTAGGTGGGCCGTTCCTCCCAATCACACCCCTCCAGGTCAAGCTGTCATTGCCCACGTGAGCATTGAAGTCCCCCAGCAGGACAATGGAGTCCCCTGATGGAGCACTATCTAGCACTCGTCCCAGGGACTCCAAAAAGGGTGGGTACTCTGAACTGATATTTGGCCCATAAGCACAAACAACAGTCAGGACCCGTTCCCCGACCCGAAGGCGCAAGGAAGCTACCCTCTTGTCCCCCGGGGTAAACCCCAACACACAGGCAGAGAGTCTCGGAGCTAACAAAAAGCCAACCCCAGCCCTCCGCCTCTCACCCGGAGCAACTCCAGCAAAGTAGAGTGTCCAACCCCTCTCCAGGTCTCGGGTTCCAGAGCCAATGCAATGTGTCGAGGTGAGTCCGACTATATCTAGCCGGTACCGCTCAACCTCTGCCACAAGCTCCGGCT